GGGGGTTGTGCATGCATAGTCTTTTAAATTATTTCCTAGCTAATCTTAGCTGAGTGGCAGGAAATCAGCAAATTTACGTTGTCCATTTTAGTGCTGACGATCTTTAATACAGTTCTCTTATCATAGCTAAACCTCAATTGTAGCATTTTCTTTACAGATGGCAAAAAAATCTCGCAAAAACGTTGCTTTGGAGCATTCTGCTCAAATTAGAGCTGCGTATCAATTGTCAAATATTCGAGGGAAAAAAACTTTTAAAAATGTTTCCTCAGTATTCTAAAGCTGCAATATATAAGCATGCTCAGAAGCCACTAAATGGTGAACCTGTATTTGACAAGAGAAAAGCAAATAAAGGCAGACCTTCAAATTATCACCTCAAGACAAGAGAAGTATAGTGCGCTCCATAACAAGTCTCCGACAAAAGCAGGGTTCTTTTACCTCTAAACGTGTTCAGGTAGAAAGCGGCGTAAGCCATGTGAGTGGTCGCACTATTAGGAATTGCTTAAATGAGGACGGATATTGGTATTTGCAAACGCGAAAAAAAGGTCTTCTCCATGCCAAAGATCTAAAATCAAGAGTAAAGTTTTGCAAGAAAATTAGAAAGCAAAAATTGGATGATGAGTTCTGGAGGTCATGGATATCGTTTTATTTGGATGGGAAGGAATTCCAGTACAAAAGTAACCCTTATGACCAAGCACGTGCACCTGGAGCTCGAGAGTGGAGAAAACGTGGAGAAGGCTTGAAGTTCAATTGCACCGCGAAAGGAAAAAAGGAAGGTGGTATCAACGTGAACTTCATGGTGGCAATATCATACGGTAAAGGTGTAGTTCTCTGTGAACAATATGATGGGACAATAACTGGCCCAAAATTTGCAGAAATTGTCAAATCTTTTCCAAAAGCATTCAACAAATCATCAAGCCCTAAAGCGAGAAGATTTCTGATGGATGGATGCCCGAGGCAGAATTCAAAAGTAGCAATGCGTGCTATCGACAAAGTGAACACACTTGTATTGAAAATTCCCCCACGAAGCCCTGATCTTAATCCTATTGAAAACCTTTTCCATACGCTAACAGTGCGACTAAACAACGACGCATTCCAAAACAATATTACCAAGGAAACTTTCAAAGAGCTATCATCGCGAGTCAAAGAAACTATTTTGAGCGTTAGTTCTGAAGAAATTGACAAAATTATTGACAGTATGGATAAAAGGATCACCGCAGTTCTTAAAGGAAAGGGTCAAAGAACCAAGTATTAGTTTAGTATATACGTAAATGTCCGTATCATTATATTTTTGAAATTTTTAAGTGCAAAAATCCAGCAATTCTTTTAAAAAGTAGGTGTAACATGTTGTAACATGTCAAGATCTATAGTAAAATATGCAAGTTGAAGTGTAACATGTGGTGTAACATGTAGTGTAACATGATGTAACATGTAGTATAAATATTAGCCATAACACAACATGTTGAAAGTATACATTAGTAGATATAAGAATCTTAATTAACGAGTCAAATATAAATGTTTATTGTTCATAAACTTAAATTAATCAACAAAATGGTTTATCTTTATTTTTCCCATAATAGTCCACAAATTTTGAATGTAAATTAACAACAAGTACTTAATTATGTTTATTGTTTAGCATATTTCTCCCATTAACTCATTCCCATCCAGTCGAAAAGAAGCAATTTCGAGTGAAATTCCATTAGTAAAAAAGAGTCGAATGAACTCAAGCTCACAGTTCATTGAGCCGAATGAACTCATTTATTTATTTAGCTTTGCCAACTAGGGCAGGGTCACCACAACAGCATATGCCAATTACTGTGGGCCCTTTTTACCTAACCCACCCTGTCAACTTTCCCTGTGGGAGGAAACCGGAGTACCCGGGGAAAACCCACGGCTTTCGGCAGAGCGTTGACTTTTACTCTTTTCACATGGGGACTGGGTTCGAGTCGCATTCATTGAGAAGGTACTTAGTGAGACTCGAACCTGCAGCCTCAGAGGTGAAAGGCAAGTGCGCTAACCACTTGGCCACCGAAGACCCCATAAGCTCAAGCTCACAGTTGATCGAAATGGATCCCGGACATGTCAGTGAGGAGCAA